GAGGCCTGAAATACAGCAGACAAGGAAACCCTGATGCACAGAGGGAGGGAGAAAAGTAATGTGGTAAAGAACAGGAGGTGAAATACTGGAAAACGATGAGGAAGAAACTGTGGCACATTGCAGGGAATTGAAGGCTGTGTATGGGTAGAGAGGACAGTCGATATTGGATTATATTTCACAAACTAGTACAGAATAGCATTTGCACAATGCTTTACATTTTCCAAAGCACTTTAATGTCTATCTGTGAAGGTTTTATCTTCATTATACAGATGATCAAACTGACATCAGGGCAGTTACATGATTTCTCAGTGTGTTTCAGAGTTGGGTTTGAACATAAGGAGAAGAGAGGGTGAGTTGACTAGGACAGACTAGCTCATCAAATATGCACTGGGCAAGTAAGAAGCATGAGAGACACATGCTGACATATCATGGAAGATATGTACATGTTCCCAATAGTGTTGAGGACAAAAGATGGTTGTGCAGTGAAATGTGATATGAATGTACACTTCATACCATAACAAAGCTCAGCAGGAGCTGTTGCTTAATTCTTTGCTGGTTTCTTACTATTGAAATTATGGATTAACATAATGCTTTACATCCCTTAAATCTATCCCTTAAACTAGTGGCTGAGTGATCCTCTGTGCAATAATCAGTATGAGAGTGACTTTATCAAGGACTCAGATCTCACTGCAAAAGAAAATTTAGGGGTTGATGCAGTTGGTCTACATATGTTGTATTGAGGATGGATTTGACATTTAAAGTTTTCCTTGAAATTGGAAGACTGAATGTTTCAGACTATGGCAAATAACAACAAAGCAAAGACAGCTGACTGTGAAGTTGCAGCATCATTTGTAAAAATATTTAAAATATTTTATAATATTTAAAATTTTCAATTTAATTTATTCTAGGAGAGTCTTATAATGTTGATGAAACTTGTATTTTCAACCTCAAGGCTAAATAAATCAGGGTTCCTAAGTGTTAGTGGAATAAAGGCAAAAGAATTGTTTTGTATGGGAGGACTTGCATCAAATGAAACCATTGGAAATCTGAAAGATAGGATCATTTTGGAGTTTTCACAGAGTTACAAGAGTGTCCAAGTCATAGGAAACTTATCCCTTTCCTCCCATGGTTAGTAATCTTAGTTTTGAATTTAGAATGAAAGATGATTTTAGATATATATGCTTTATATACACATTCCTGTGGATACCCAAGTTAAGCTTGTAATGCTAATTTTAGGAAGTCAAAGGTGATGCCATGCCTGTTGTTGTAAAATGCCAGTTATTTGAATCCATATGCATGCCACAGTTGCTCATATAGTGCATACATTACATACACTGGGCACTTGCCCATGGCCCTGTGCTGAGGGGCCTCTCAGATGGAGCAGCACTGGTGGCATTTGCAAACTGATCAGCTACTCCAGGAAAATGAGAGAGATGACTCAAGTGGGATTTAAAGGTTATAAAATCAGTCCAGAAATCTGCATGGTTATCCCCAAGGCAAAGTCAGGGTATCTCCTGTTCTCTTCTTTATAATTACCATCCATGTCTGTGTTTTATCTTTAAACATATCTTGCCTTTTCGGGACTGCTTTGGTTTTCATTGTAACTAGACCAAATTTGAAAAGAATTTAGATTTAGGATCTGAGAGAACAAAGGCATCCCATAGTGTAAATTTTCTCTATAGTCTTACTGTCTCCTACTGTCTTTTCTTATCAAAGATAAGAACAGTGATCAAGCATATAGTTACTGAACATTTGGTGTCTTTTTAACATAAGGTGCAAATACGCTATTTTTTATATCTAAAGATCCCTTAAAGCATTAAAAAGAGTTTGGAAAAAAACTGGCTTGGAGTACTGTGTTCACAAAATTTCTTCTAATCATCATTTCAAGGCTGAAATCTTTAAGGCCTAAAAATAATACTTGGAAATGATATCTGAGTACATTGAAACTGACCATGAGTACTACATAAGTTGAAAATAAAAGTAACTTGTATTAATAAAATGGGATCCTTTTAACAAAATATTACTTTACTTTTTGAACTAATATTTTCAAGCTGTGTTATTGTCTAAGAAATTATACAATTATATGGAAATTATTGTTATATATAAGTATACAGTTATGTAGTTATAAGAAATTATCTAAGAAATTATACTGTTATATATTTTTTATTTTTTATATGAAAGAAATATGAAGGAAGCAAGTTAAAACTAATAACAGTGATTTATATTTTTAAACCATAGGAGATATATCACAGAAGTAGTACAAAATCACCCCCATATTCTGTATCTTCTATTTCACTCCCCTGCACTTTTTTAGCAAAAATTATGAGCAAAGAAACTAAAAGTTTAAATCCTGATGTCTCACAATCCTAAATCAAGTTCACTTTTTCCATTTCCCTGCTACCATTCTACTTCAGCAATCTTTTATTTGATTCATCACACATTGCTTTTCTATAGGTCTTTTTTTTTAAGACAGAATCTCACTCTGTTGCCCAAGCTAGAGTGCCATGGCGTCAGCCTAGCTCACAGGAACCTCAAACTCCTAAGCTCAAGCGATCCTTCTGCCTCAGCCTCCTGAGTAGCTAGGTCTACAGTCATGCACCACGATGCCTGGCTAAGTTTTCTATTTTCGGTAGAGACGGGGTCTCGCTTTTGCTCAGGCTGGTCTCCAACTCCTGAGCTCAAGCAATCCTCTGGCCTTGGCTTCTCAGAGTGCTAGGATTACAGGCATGAGCCACCACGCCCGCCTCTATAGGTCATTTTTCACAAAATAGCCAGAATTATGTTTTTATAATGTACATAAGATCGCATTACCTGCTATGGATTTTACATTATACTTAGAATAAAATCCAGAATCCTTGCCGGGGCTCACAATGATCTGGTTCTTAGTACCTCTCAACCAATATCTACTTGCTACACTGTACCTCATTCCACTCATTTCTGTGCTCTGGTTACTAATGAGTTTTTAACTAGCTAGCTCACTCTGTTAGGTGATATTGCACTTGATATTTCCTCTTCCTGGATTGCTTTTTCTCAGATCTTAACAGCATTGCCTCCTTCTTGTCCTCGCTGACTCATCTTAAAGATAATTTTTATAAAGAGGCCTTTCCTGACCACCCCATCCAAGGGAGCTCCCAGTCACTCACTGTCATATCACTCTGCTTTGTTTTCATTTATTCTTTTATGAAATAAATATTTACTGAACACCCATTATGTAACAAGGAACACGATAAAGTGCCTGCCCTCATGGAGCTTTCATTCCAGTGACGGGGGATAATCAATAATCATCACTACCTGGGACATCCACCTAGACTCCTACCAGAAATGGAGTAGAATGCTCATGAGTGCAATGATGCTTTACTCCTGCTGGAGTTAGTGAAGAGGACTTTGAGAGCCTGTTCTTTCTCACGCTAGTGCGGCTTGCCTCTGTAAAGTCACCACCACAACTGGCTAGGTGGCAAGGGACAACACAAAGAGCACTGCCACAATGATCCACTCCTCCCAAATTTACTCTGCACATTCTTGAGCAAGTCACATTATCCACTTTTTGTATTAATTTTCTCTTTTGTAACATGTGGGGTAGTCCTATCCATTTCAAAAGCTTTTTGTATGAATTAATTATGAAAGTACTTGACAAATAGAGCACTACCTAAAAGTTCCTATTTTTTTTTCAAATCATAGTAATGATTTCTAATTCCATCCTTGGGTACCTGAGCTCCAAATCTACCATTTCTAATAGTTAAATTAACATTTCTATGTTGCTCAATGAAAGGAAATTTTTCATCTTCCCACAGAACTAGTTACTCCTCACAATTTTTTTTTTTTTTGGTGAAATATGTCTTTGCCCCTCAGATTCTCATCCAATCAGTCCAATGCCTTGTTAGTTTTCTGTTGTTACATATCTTGAAACCACTCTTTCCTGCCTGTTTGCAAGGCAGCAGTCTAAGTCCAGCTCCTCACCCCCTGCCTTCTCTTCGCTGCCTTCCAAGAGATCTTCACCTTCCCCCTCAGCCTTTCACTTCCAAATCACTTAGAACTTTGCCATTATTCTGTTTGTCATGTCTTTCCTCTATTCAGAAACCCTGAAAGATGTCACCTTATTGCTTGCATGATGGATTTAAAATCCATTAGCATGTTATTTAAAGTTCACCATAATCTGGCTTCAATCTGCTCTTCACATTTGATCTCCTATCATTCTTCTTTCTGACCACCCCACTCCAGCTAGATGGATCTGTTTCCTGTTCCCTGACCCTTTGCCTGACTTTCCAGCTGACTCTCCCCACTTGTTCGTGGTTTTTATTTGCCTGGAATTCTCTCTTCTCCTCTTTGTCCCAATCTTCTTTACCTTTTGGAATAATGCTGCATAATACTTTATCCATTTCATGGGATTCGTGAATTTTTACCTCCATTTCTGTTTTTGACATTGTATTCAAATTCATGTTATTTATTTGCCTAAACATGCTTTTAAAGAATTTTTCGTATTCCTTTCTATTTCTCAAGTGCCTTCCCCTTAATGGGAATTTACTATATATTTTAAAGTGTCACGGGTAGTTGAAATTGTGTTCTATGTTATGTTTTTCTAAGAATGTAATGGAGGCCTCCCTTTAGAAGAATGAGTTAAAATCTGCTCATAAGCAGAGCATTGAACTTGTTGACCTCATTTCATCTACTTTGAAAGGAATTAGGTCCAGTTTCTCAGAGAACTTGGTTATACCTTGTTGAACTGGCATATGTAAATTATTATTTAACTTGAGGAAAGCACTGGCATTTATAAAAGATTTGTCCCAGGAGATGACTAGTAAAAAATGGCCCACTTAGATGAGTATTAAATGTTATCTGTAGATGTTTCTAAATTTGCTGAAATTTTCTCCTTCTGTTCCCAAGAGGTTTCATAAAAAACTTGCCTTTGTTTTCTTGTCCATAGCACTGAAAAACATTTAGTTCGATGATCATACTTTATTTTGATTCTATACTAACAGCATACTTTTTTGGTTTTTTTGCAGTACTTTGGAAGTTTACTTGTCATTTTCTGTGTAGAACTGGCTTGTGGGGTTTGGACATATGAGCAGGAACTTATGGTGAGTTCAAAATGGGATATAATCACAATCTAAAACAATAACCATTTCGACCTTTTAGATTAGATCCTTTAGAGTAATTAAAGCATGTCATTATTGATTTGAATGTTAATGCTACATGATAACAATGGATAATAGTTCTAATACTTATAAAAAATAACATTTCCTTTTCTGTGTCCAAAGCATCATATTTCCACACCATAACTTGTAATATTGTATCAGGTATGATAATGTCTTTAATTCCATAGATTGCTTAAACACGGATATAATAGACTAAAAATAGTATATGTTCTAAAATAATTGTACCAACGTCTGGTTTAATAATAGGAAAGATTCACACTTGTAACAGGATTTGCTTGAGAATGCTTGAATACCTGTATGCGAAGCCTTATCCAAGGCCGACTGGCACAGTGCACTGAAGAGTAGGAAGCCTGAACCATCTCTCACTTTAAGACATGTATTCGAAGAGTTGTTGCGTGTTTAGCGCAGTCTAGAAACACTCTCACAATTTGACACTAGGTTACTTGAAAACAGCTCTTCATCATTTTTTTCTTTTATTTTGGCAATTGGAATCACTGGAACAACTTTCATAGCTATGATAGAATGAATGAGGATAAGAGTTTCTCAATCTTAAGATTTTACCAGTCATGTTTGGTTTACCTCTTGCACTTTACCCTTGCTTGCATTTGGTATTAGTCCTTATTTCGTATTTGCTCACTTCGTTGGTGAAAATTAGTGCATTTATTACTAATGATGTTGGGCACCTTTACATGTGTGTGAATGCTGGCCGTTTTCATGGAGGTAGGCTAGATTTTCCGCCGTGAACATCATAGAGTATTTCTGTTTTAGTAAAATGCTATTTTTCAACATGTAGTTCTTGGACCATCTGCAGTAAGAGTCATGCAGGGTGATTCTTAAAAATGTGTATTATTGGGCTCCAGCCCAGAGGTACTAAATCAGAATGGAGGGAAAAGGCAGGGGAGGAAAGGGCAAGGACTGGGCATTTGCATTTGTGTCAAGTTCCTCGTGTGTCTTAAGCATTTAAAAATTAAGAACTCTTAAGAAGAGAAGGAGATGATTATATATTCTATTTGGTTTCAGACAGAGGGAAGGCATTTGGCAGTTGGGTAATAAAATTGAAGTTGTCTCTGGTACTGATGTGGTTGTTAAAGATTCTGTGTTGAATCTGCTACTGTCCTGTGAGACTGTTTTGAATACTAAGTAACCACAGATTCGTGGCTACTCTGCAGACTCCAATTTCCATGGAGATGGTGCTTTGGTGCTCTGCTCTCACATGTATGATCCCTGTGCAGACACACATGCTTCCAATGTTTGATGATTCTCAGTAAGAAGACAGAGTTATTGAAAAATGGCAAACTCAGGGCAGGTTCTAACTAGCTTAATATAAAGTTAAGAACTTTCTTAAAAATAAAAATCTCCCATTAAAGTAGAAATTCTCTTGCTGTCTTTGAGAATCTTATTTTCACTCCATCCCTAGAAATTTTGAGTATTTAGGGGAGTGAAAAAAGGGGTTGATTTCAGGGACTTGGTTTCTATGTTTTATTGGTAAAGAGATTGTCTCTTCATTTTTTTCTGTTTTCAAATGATAAATTTATCTCCAAGACATTCAAGCAATAGACAGTAAATCTTATAATTAGCTCTTGATCCCTTTCCCTCTGCTTCTGATTGTGTTCTGTTGGGTAATGAAAAGGTCTTTAAAAATGCGTTTATTTTCTCATGGATTTTTAAAATGGGTTGTAGAGTGTGCATTTCATACTAATATTTGATAAATCTCCTAAGTTATAACAAGTTCACAATGAATTAATTTAAGGTGTTAGAAAGGAAATGTTTTGATTCTCACGTCATCCTAAGAAACACGAGGAAACCGAAAGGAGTTTATACTTGTTCAGATACTTTCTTCTATTCTGTTAGGAGTTGGTCAGTCTGCAAGTAGCTCCCGAGTACTGCAGTGCTAACTGGTGCCCACTGCCATTTCAGCTGAGCGTTTCCTCACAGTTTTGCTTGTGTAAATCTTTCCCATTACATCATCAGGATAGAGCAAGGGCTGTTTAAACGTGAAATGTGGAAAGCAGTCCTTTAGAAAAAAAAAAAGTTTGTCAGGTTTTTTATTGCTTTTGCACTAATAGCAGTGTGAATGAAAAGTGCCATTAAAGTTTATTATCTGCCAAATTTTGCAGAACTCAGCCTTTACATAGACTGGGCTTTGTGCTTTTAGCTGTTCCATGCAAGAAACCAATCAATGTGTGTGTTACTTTATGGCCAGATCCCAGTATTTTGTGCCAGAACCTCAATGGTCTCCTCTGTTTTCTTGCCACATTTGGTCTCAGATTGATTGTGGTCACCATGAGGAAACAACCTATATTTATTTTGGAGGGTAAAAATTTTTTAAAAGATTGTTATATTAACTAAATCAAGAGACTTGACATCAGTCTGTATCCCCATTGTTTCTGCTTTTTATACATGTTCACCTCCTGTTCATTATTCCTTCTCTAGATAAAATCTGTCAGTCATATTAATTGTTTTAGATTATATATTTCTAGAGAATTTATTTCGCTTCCATTTGTTTTATGCCCCAAAGGATATGATGAGATAGTAATAATTTATAGTGAGTAGCTTGAACTTTGGCTAGTTCCTAAACTTTGTTGAAGCCATGTAAACAACATATACTCATTCAACCCATTATTTAGGGAACAAAATTGTGTGCCCAAGTGTTTGGGTGGTTTTTTTGTATCCTGTGTTTTCAATTAATAGATAAAAAAAATTTAAAAATAAAAGAATGAAGAATTTCTGTGGTCAGAAATTTGTAAACCATTAATATTTCTATTGATATAACTATCTTTAGAAATAAGATTTCAAAATAATCCTAATTGGAGTTCTACTGGAACCTTATTTACTCACCTCTCCTCTTTCTCCCTTTCTTTTTTTTGAGTTTTGATTTTTATGCCATTTATTGAATGTCAGCTTGGTCTGTGTTGCTCCATAGATCAGATGTGGATGTCTTATCCAGTTTCCCAGGAGTTGCATTAATATCTCATATGTGGTGAGACTAGGGTTTGTATAGCTCGTTTTCTTCTGGCCTTGTAGATAAAATATACCTTGATATGCTGACCAGATTTCTGGCCAACTGTCATGTTGCATACCTAAAGTTCTGTCATGATAAAACACTTTGTAACAAACATGGGGATTCGAGAAGAGGAGCACACACAAAAAAGCTATAATTTGAGAACTATTCTTTCTAAAATTCTACCATGCCTTCAAAATCCAACTTTTGGAAAGATGTTGACGAAATTATTCCAGAGTTGAGACTTGATCTGAGCTGAAGTCTTTCCCTTCTTAATTCTTCCGCCTTTATTTTAGTACCATTAGCTGCAGTTACTTCAAAGAACAGCAACTTCATAGCATTATGAAATGAAACTAAGGGGCGTTTCTTTGCAGAGATCATTTGTTACAAGGAGCTCTTCATGTGTATCTGTAGGATGTATAGTTAACTACTCGTTTTGTGATTTCCTTGAGCATTATAGTTATTTCTTATTATTTTGCTTAAGACAAAGTACCTCCTTATGTAGTACAAAAATCTATACATAGAGATTGCCCATTAACTATTTCATAACCCAGAGCTTAATTTAGGCCATGAGCAAACATAAATTTAAAGTAGTATTTGTCAATTTCAAGTATATGTGAATGTGTGTGAATGATTATGTTTGTGATGATGTGAGTGAATCTGTGTTTGTGTGTTATAGTTGTTGATATTTTCCTTTTTATCTCCAGGTTCCAGTACAGTGGTCAGATATGGTCACTTTGAAAGCGAGAATGACAAATTATGGCTTACCCAGATACCGGTGGCTTACTCATGCTTGGAATTTTTTTCAGAGAGAAGTAAGTGCTACAGTTTTTGAGGCAGAGAGTGTTGAGTAAGTGGTACACTTTCCAATCAGATGTTCAAAGCTTTGTCTTTGGTAATTTTCTCTGTGCTGAAAAATTAAACCTAAGATTCTCTTACCTCTGGTGCAATGCGTAACCGAGAAATAGGTAACTCTGTGCGCTGCTTTTCTTCGCATATTTGCCATTTCCCCTTCATTTCACATGGTTCACACATATTTAAGAACTCTTAAAAAAGCCATTTTTTCTAGACTACTATAAGGTTTCCTTTTTATGAGGGATAACTTGATAAATATTGAAGTTCTATTTGAATATATATTTTTTTATGACTTTTTGAGCTATTAGTAATTTTAAACATCATTTTAATTTTTTAAATGATCATCCTGAATTTGGACTTTGGAGTCAGTATATCATGAATGATATGGTTTTCCTAGTCAGAAAAACTTCAGTTCAAATCCTATCTATGCTGCTTACTATGAAGTTAGCTTCTATAATTTGCACAGCCTCCTTAAGCCCTAGTTTCCTCACTTGTAAAATAGGGATAATTAAAGTACCTACCTCAGGTTATTGAGAAGATTAAATGATATCAGAAGTCTGATCTCATTTAGCCAATGGTTACTGACAATAACATTGCAAAGTATGGGTGCTTTTAGATTTTCTTATCTAATGGCCATATAGCACTGCACCCAACCATCTACTTAAATGGGACCTATATTTAGTTGGTTAAGATCTGGTGACTTAAAGTTACCAATCCATCTTGCTTCAAACCAAGCTGTTCTCCCAAGCACTTTCCTTGCGATTGATTTACATTCCCAGATGATTATCTTGGTTTACTTTAACTTATCTTAGTGCTGGGCCACAAAGCATTTGAAAATCAGTGCCTTACACGATAAATACCAGCTCTCTGCTCAGTTACCGTGATGTTCAAGTCCAAGACAGTCTCCAACTCTGGCTCTCTGTGTTATAATTGCTGAGATGGTGAAAATTATCATTGTAACACAGATTTCCTGTTTATTTAAATGCTTCCTGACTTTGTTTGTTTACTATACATTTGTACTAAAAACAACAGGAAGGGAAAATAAGTGAAGCATTGGGAAATTTATAGTAGGCTGTATTCAGCTACTGTCCTGGGGAGGAGCTGCCCATAGCTGTTTATTTTCTGGAATTTGTGATGTAGACCTTGATAATCCAGGTTAAGAAACAAAATGAGTTTTTTTTCTAATGGGGGCTCCACCTAGATGGACAATGTACAAGCACTGCAAATGATAGCACACTTATTTTTAGAGTTATCACATGGTAGATTCCCTCCTCGGTATGGAAAGCCTATTTTACATAAAAGGAGATGGTGAAGACCTCTGGGCACCCTTAAAGAGTTTTAAAAAAGCCCCTTTTTTAGTTTGCTATGACTTCCATAACAAAGGACTACGGACTAGGTGGCTTAAAAATAGAAATTTATTTTCACACAGTCTTGGAGGCTGGAAGTCCAAGGTCAGGGTATAGGCAGGGTTGTTTTGTTTCTGAGATCTCTGTCTTTGGCTTGTCTATGGCTGTCTTCTCCCTATATCTTCATGTTGCCTCTCCTCTATACGAGTCTGTTTTTAAATTTCCTCTTCTTATAAGACCATCAGTCGTGTTGGATTAGGGACCACCCCTATGACTTTATTTTAACTTAATGACCTCTGTAAAGACCCTGTCTCCAAATACAGTCACATTTTGCAGTACTAGGGATTAGAATTTTAGTATATAAATTTGGGTGGGAGACACAGGTTAGCCGATAATACCCCACTCCCGAATAACTTGTAGAGCAGAACATGACCTCGTCAGGTCTCAGTTTTCCTGACTGCTCATTCAGGGCCATTCTGTGCATAGACCTCGATGTAGTGGACTCTTGCTTAGGCCCCGGTGATGTTTATTTAATGCATTTTTAAGAAAAAAAACAACAACTCACTTTTAAGAATGTATTTATTTATTTTAACATGGTGGTTGGAGCACAAGCTTTAGAATAAATAGTCTCTGCCACATGCTGGCCTGTGACCTTGGCAAGTTACTTGACTCATCAAGAGCCTCAGTTTATTTGTATGGGAAATGGTGGTGGTATTTTCTAGAGCTTGACACAAGGTTAGCTAGAGTGGCATTATCTCATAATGCAATATTAAAGGAGACAAGAAAACAACAAGGAGATATAGACTTCAGTAATGTGTTGGTATGATATTGGCTTTCCTTGAGGGAGTTTTCAGGAAAAGTGTCAGTACAAATTCAGTATCTTCTGTTGAAGTAGAAAGATGACTATATTATAAGACTCATTAAAATAAAAAAACGATTGGCATTGAACATGATATGCTCAAGTTATTTGGGAAGGTCATTTATGTGGAGCACCTCATTTCATGACAAAGCCACATAAATGGGCTGTTCCATTCTGGGTGGAGTTAGAGTGTTCCAAGAACTGCCCTCTGTCGTCATTACAGAAAGGATTCATGTCATTAGGAAAGGAGATAAATGGATTTTTTCTGAGTTCAAGGATTTAAAAAGATTGACTTGCAAATGCAGTAGTTTATGATTTTTAAAAAATGAAGTGTTTCTACTGTCTATGTTTTTTAAGAAGATTTAATGAATTATGGAAAATATGTGATGTCAAATTATGTTTGACTTAATTTGTGATGTTTATAGTATCTTCATGACTTTCAGAGCAAGTTTATAAAAGAAAAATACTAAAAATATAAAAAATAGTTTGTCAAAATTTTAGTATTACTCATAGCTTTCAGTAATTTACTATTTATAATATGCTTAAGATGATTTTTTCTGTTTAAAAATTAGATATTTAGGCAAGAATAAAATACAAAATAATATCTAGTATTTTCCTTGTTTCCTTTCACATGAGAAGTTCAGAATTTCTCAAAATTTATTTTAGTTAAATTTTGAAATAATCATAGATTATAATATTTTGTGATACAATGTTGGTCTCGAATACAAATTGATCTGCTGGGCTACGTAATTTGTATAGTCAGTTGCTCTTGGCAAAGTTCTTCTCAGTGACTGCCCATATTTCTTGCTTTGACCAGAGAGGGAAGAGCAATCCCCTCTACCCTAGAGCAGAAAATTATTCAGAGCTAATTGCTGTGAATCTAATCTATATATGTCCTTAAGCAGTGTTTCTAAACCTTGACCAGAGAAAGTTTTTGCTAGTCTTTGGAGACATGAGATAAAGAAAAAAAAAGGCAATATAGTTTTTCTTAAATTCATCTTTATTCAAGCTGAAAGTACATCACTTCTGAGATTATAGTGATAGAATATGATCGTTTCTTTGAAGAATCTCACTCAGTTGAATAAAAATTAATTGTCCAGACCTATGTTTATTTCTCAAAGTTTTTGAGTATTTTACTGGTCAAAAAAATCCAAGTCTGGTAACATTTGTGATGTGGACTTTGGTCAACACATCTTTTCTACAAAGATTATCTCAACTTTTGATGTAATATTTGAGTTTGTCGAGAGACAAATTGATTTATTAACTAGTCTTTAGTGGCTAGAAGTTTAATGATAAAGATAAGATGCCAGCTATTTGGTTTCCTAGTGTGTATGTTAAATCCGTTGCTATGTAATCCCCTCGTAGAGGATCTCACAGTTGGAGAGTAAGGCATAGTCATGCCTGATTTGTTTTTATGTGTTATGGGCTTTATTGTCCAGAATTGCCTTATTATGGGGTAGATAGCTATGGTGTTCCTCTAGCACATTTCTATCATCAAGAGAGAATGTACACATACCATTAGGTGATGATAGAAGTGAGTTTAGCTCAGGGCACAAAAATTTAAGAAATCTAATGTTTAATCTCCTATAAATTAAGAAAATATTTTTATAGTTTCTGAGCCTGACCAGTGATTCTTTTGCAGTTTAAGTGCTGTGGAGTGGTGTATTTCACTGACTGGTTGGAAATGACAGAGATGGACTGGCCCCCGGATTCCTGCTGCGTTCGGGAATTCCCAGGATGTTCCAAACAGGCCCACCAGGAAGATCTCAGTGACCTTTATCAAGAGGTAAGGATGTATGTGGTTAACTTATCACGGATAAAAGTTTTTTTATAATAACTTTTAAGTAAAGAATCAACAATGTGCCAATGAAATTTTCCTTTTATGTCTAAATATAAAGGGCCTTATTATTTTTTTCTTATGTGTGGAGAAACAGGATAAAGCTAAAAATCAATATAAAAATCTGAGCACTAACTACATTTTAACAAAGGAAAGCGGGAAAAACCAGGTTTTATAATTAATTTTATTTTGAACGTTATTGTCTAGGACCAAGTTCTGTTGCCACCTCCTTGGGATCCTTTGAAACGGACACATGCAGAGTATGTAGCTAACTCTGGATATTCAGGAAGCACAGGGTTTGGAGTTCCTGGGCAGAATTTGTATTTTAAGGCCTCTACATAGACACATATTCGGGGTGCAGGGGTGAGGGCGAGGAGGCGGGTGGAACAAAACAACTTGCTTCGATGCTGCTCTTCAGCTCCCCCTGCTGGCTAATGAACAGAGGTGTCAGCGATAGTTTTCTGATTTACATTTTGTGCTCACTAGGATTAAAATCAATCCTCATGTACCTAAGAAACTTGCATATTTGTGTTTTCTAGGAGAATTGATCAGAATCATCAGTTACTCCTTTTTAGCAGATGTTTTCCTGCTCCTTCATTTTCAGTGGTGATTTTCAAATTTTGTGAACAGTAAAATCCTATTTGCAAATTAAAATCTAGAACTGCATTGTCCAGTACAATAGCCAATAGTGACATAAATTAAGATTAAGTTAAATTCAAATTTCATTCCTTAGTGCACTAGCCACATTTCAAGTGCTCAACTGCCACTTGTGACTAGCGGCTTCTGTACTGGACAGTGCAGATATGGGACATTTCCATCATTACAGAAAGTTTTATTGGGCAGTCTTGGTCTAGAATGGAAACTCAAAATGTAAATCAAACAGAAGAGAAGCTGCTCAGGCTGAAGAGTTGGATCATTCCCCAGATACATCTCTAATCAGGTATCTGGTATTACAAAGCACTGTTGAGAACCTCTGGCTTAACATTAAAGTAACTGCTTATACTATTCATAATATAACTCATATATATATATATATATATATATAAATGTGCATATACACACACAGAGTATGGCTATGTAGAATGAAAATTTAAAATGAAACGTCAGGCGTTGTAAAACATGCATTTTAATATGTTTCACAGTGGTTCTCTTTAGGAGGTTATACATGTTTTCCTAGAAATGCTGTCTTTCTAAACATCTTTTATATTGTCAGCCACAATCAGTTGTAAAGATGTACAGTTAATTTGAATTATAAATTAATTAATTTGGATTCCATAATTAATTAATTAATTAAAAGAATGCTGTATTAACTACACAAATGATCCATTGTAATGTCTTAGATATGAGTAACTTTTGTTGTTTAAAAAATTCCATCTCAGAGGACAAGAATACGCCACATTTAAGGATATCCGAAATGAAATGCTCTGGGCTCCGAAGGCGTGTCCCGAAGAAGAGTGCCAAATATTTTTTAAGAGTTTCAGAATTCTATTAGTTTCCTAGAGCTTACATTACAGGGTATCACGAACTGAGTGGCTTAGACAACAGAAATTCATTGTCTCACAGTCCTGGAAGCTAGAAGTTCAACATCAGGGTGTCAGCAGGGTTGGTTCCTTCTGAGGTCCATGAAGAAGAATGTATTTCATTCTTCTCCCTTAGCTTCTGGTGGTTTGCCAACACTTTTCCCCATTCTGTGTCTTGTAGAAACATGAGACCTTGATCTGTGCCTTCATCTCCACATGGTATTCCCTTTGGGTGTGCATCTCCAAATTACCCCATTTTATAAGAACACCAGTCATATTGGGTTGAGGGCTTACTTTTCTCCAGTATGACCTCATCTTAATTATATCTGCAACAACCCTATTTTCAAATAAGATCACATTCTGAGGTATTGGGGTTATGACTTTAACATATGAATTTTGGGAGGACACTATCCAACCTGTGGCAAGAATTATTGAAACAACCGAATAACTCAGGTCATTTGTTTTAAGGTGATTAAAATACTTTTTGTCATGTCTCACACGACTGAGAAGCATTGTGTTTGAATACTATCATTTTAAACATACTATGTTTTGTAATTGTCGGCTTTAATGAGAAGGAATATGCAAGGTATAGTTTATTGAACCAAAAATTGTTGAGCCCAGTTTCTGTGTCTCTGGGTTCCTCAGTGCTACATCTTTTGTTCACTAGCTGACTGTTGGCTAGTGTCTGTAGTAGGAATGGTTAACTAACAAATGCAATGAACTCCTATTCATTCCATCAAACAGAAAACAGTACTTAATATTTCTGAGACAGTGTTAGATACAAACATAACTGTGGATATTCAGATGCATTATGAGTCACTATCAGGCATTAAAAGAACAGAACAGATGATTGCTGTATAAATGTAAGTGTACACATGTGGATTGAAACTTCTCAATTTTCCTAGTGTGAGTTTAATCAATTTGTTGGTTTTTAGCAGTAGCAAGTCAATATGAAAAATTATCGAGCTACAGCACTATAGTATAATAATTTCTACCTGCTTCAGTGATTAATATTGCCAAAATGATTATAACTAATATTGATCATGAGAATGACAATCACGAACCAATTTATCAGATATTCTCAGAAAGTCTGAATATAGACAAATTCTCTTCAATTTTACTTTACATAGCTGAAAACTGTCCAATTACACATTTAATATAATTTTCTTATAAAAATACAATTCATTTTTGATAGCTTGTCTTATATTATTTTCACAAATAGCACTAATTTATAATGGGATGCTTTACTTTCAGGATGTCTATAATTGCTTGCTCCATGAATTTCAAGATTGAATGAACCCACACTATTGTGCATGTACAAACTGATAGCCCAGATTATTTTGAAAGTTTTTCATATTTTCATCAAAAGACTTTCAATAGTAAACTGACATTGTCAGTTATGAGATGTTCTTTAGATGCAGACTTCTGGCTGAGATAGAGGTTCGTTATAACAGTAGTCTGCGTTTGCATTTTACAATTAATAACACATGCTGATATTGGTAATGATATAGTACATAATTATATGCATAGTTGACTTACAAAAGGGGATCATTTAGTAGTTTTATGGCATAAGCACAATTAAATCCATAATTAGAAATAAGACTTAATTTCACTTTGCCCTGGAGAACATATGTTCCCTAATTGCAGTGGGCCTAGAGATCAGACAGGAGGAAGAGGAGGGGATCTAGACAGAGAAATAAGTGAGTAACAGCTAGAGGTATTTGAGATGTTTATTTTGAAGTTGAGAGCACTGGCGGAGAGATAGTTTAGATGTCTTCAAATATTTCAAAGTTCATAATTCAGAACAGGAACTAGACTTATTCATTGTTGCTTCAAGGGCCAGAAGTTACAGGAAGGAAATTTTGAATCAATAGAAGGAAGACCTTGCTCATCAAAATCTGTCCAGTTGTGTGAGATAGGTTATCTTGTAAAATAATGAGTGTCTCATCACTAAAAATATTAAAGTCAAGGTCAGATAACCATGTCATTGGTGGTGTAGGATGAGTTTTTAAATTAAGAATGAATTTGGACTAGATGAACTTCAAGGTCCCTTTTATCTTTTGTATTCTGTAAGCGCAGAGATAAGAACTGGATTTCGTTCTGCAATCTTTTTTCAGTAGTATGAAATCAAGGAAATAAATCATTCTCAACCATCTGGTGGCCTGCATCGTCCCTGACCCAATAATATTTTATGACATATTTTAAAACCTGTGAAAAATGACAGAGAAGAAATATAGCAACAATTGCACATTTTAGAAACATTCCCATCAGAGGTATTGTTAGGTTTGGCACACAGCTGCTCAAATATCTGTAATAAATAAGCTCTACACTTGTATAAAAGTATAGGTTTAACAATCTCAGATGAAAATATCTCTGACCCTCAGTTTGGTTCCATAACATTCATTAATTCAAAATGTTTTATGATTACTTACTAGGTTCCACATACTATTCTAAATGCTGGGGATATATATAGTGGAGAATGTTGCAGACAAAAAGTTCTCCTCTCATAAAATTTATATTCTAGTTAGGGATGCAGATATTTAACAAGGAAAATAAGCAATAAAAAATAATTTCAGGTGGTGGTGAGCATTTTGAAGACTCTGAACAGAGTAATGTGCTGGAGAACGGCTTTGTTGGTGAGAGAGTTATTTAAGATAGATTGTTAGGAATAGGCTTTTTTAAGAGATGATATTTGAACTGAGACCAGTTGATGAGAAGGAGTCGGCCATGCTAAGATCTGAGGAAGAGTATTTTGGGCCTGGAAAAGTGCAGGTGCAAAAGACTATTGGACGTCTGGGCCCTTGACTCCTGACTGCCTACTTTCCTGTTCTTTGGAATTGTCTGTGTAACCACAGTCTCTAAATGCGAGGCATAAGACTTGGCCTCAGCAAAACGTCAGACGCAGAGTTGGTAAAATACATGTCTATGGTGCATCTCTTTCTTCTCTCACCTGCTGAGTTTTCCATCATATCATTTACTAATGTGCTGTGTCTGGACTTGAGCTGAAAAAGATCAAGCAGAGACAAAAAAAAAAAAAAAAAAAAGACATAGAAAATAAGTATTTATAAAGCAGGGACTCCCAGCCTCTTTCTCATGAACCTGGACTCTTCTTGGATGGGCTTCAAGGGAAAAGTGATACTGCTGAAATTGAAATAAAAATTTTCAATATTTTATATGCATTTTTTCAGTGAATAAGAGCCACAGTTTTCCTCACTTCTTGGGGTTCCAACTTAAAAGCATGAAGAAACAAGGTTGTAGAGAATAGTTGCAGCGCTTACTGTCTCAGATAGGAAATGAAGCATAAACATCCCCTCAAAAGGACTGAAATGCCATTTTGCACCTCTGTGTGCTACCCAGAAAAATAAATGGAAGTAAACAAGCTCATAACAGGCCCTATTGCTAAAGGACCAACTCAAAATGAAAAACAAA